ACCCAACCGCTGAGGTGGGAGGGGGGAAGTTAACTCATCCCAAAATCCAGTGCGGAGTCCACCCGCACCCTAAACCCACTAACCTGTTTCTGATGAACTGCTTCCCGAAAGCCGCGCCTGCGCCCCGAGCCACAGACCCCTGGCACTGGGATTCACCCATGAATGGAAGCTGACCGTTTGCGATGGCTTGGACTAGGGGACAGGAGCAAAAACACACGAGCCGGGTACACCTGCCACTTCGGAATAACCCTTGGGCAGATTTTACAGCCCCCAGCACTCCACGGGGCAAGCAGAAGGCGGGGGCGGTTTTGGTCCTTTCACCGTGGCACAAGTCGAACCGGCATGGAGGGGCAGAGAGAGAAATTCCCAGCAGGTGGAAGGAAACACTGGTTAGAGCAGGAAGGCTCGTCCCACTGTTTGCACTCACCTTTACACAGGGAGGATAGCTTTGGCCTCATCAGCTTTACACCAGTGTTCCTGTTGAAACAATAGACAATTTCTAACTTTTGTAAGGAAAGCCAATTAAATCAGTTATGCTAAAAATCAGCTGCAGCAGGTTTCAAAGGTGCTAGTTCAAAAGCTGAGCTCATTACCCTGAGAGTGAAAAACGACCCACGCTGAGGTTGCCCTAAGGGTGAAACAGCGTTATGGCTGTGGTGGTTCAACAGCGTAGTCTGGCAGAACGCTCAGGGTGAGGTGGGATCTTTTATTCATGAAATTGGAAGAAACCCACAGGTTTTTGAATGTACAGACAGAGGAAAATACTGTCAGACCACACAGATAAAGAAAACTGTTATTCTCCCCTGAACATGCAGAAATGCAGTCAATAATTTAGCAAGTGTGGCAACGTGCTAACAGCACGGTATTAAACACTTCCCAGAAGAGTTGGAGACTCGTCTGCCCCATGAAGTTTGTTCTCGAGTAACAAGAGACAGCACTAGAGCAGACTTACTCTGATTTTCTTAATATTTTCCTGTGTTGTAGCATGACTATATTGTGGTACTCAACTTCTTATCAGCCTTGCAAAGGCTGCAATGGAAAATACAGCATTACTAAGCCTTTGGATTTGTTCCCTTTGCCACTCTTTATCCGTCAAGCTGTTAGGTGCTTCTAGCCAGCAGTCAAAAGTGCTGAGGCTCAGTCGCGTTATCTTACCAGAATTGATCACTGGAACAACGAGAAGGAGCGTCTCGTTCTCATCACGGACTGGTCCCTCCTCATCTGCAAGTACAACTTCATCAGCCTGCAGTGCCAGCACGTGACGAGGGTCGCCCTCCCTGCAGTGGATACCATCTCTGTGGGAGAGTTTGAGTTCCCACCTACGTCTCTGAACAAGTAAGTTGACCCAGTAATAGCGTAACGTTATTGTAATTCTTGTATTGTTACTAGTTTGAGCTGTCAGCCCCTGGCGCTGACCGTTGGACACGTTTGAGAATTCTTCCTTTTGCTTGTGGGGGGTTGGACTAGATGACCTCTGAAGGTCCCTTCCAGCCCTAACCATTCTGTTTGATTCTGTGACTTTGCAAACAACTACCGAAGCGTCGTTAGAGCAGCTCCGAGTAGCTGCTGTTTTGCTGGGACACGTGGTGGTTACGTTAAAAGCGAGTTGTTCAGGGACTTCCAAGACAAGATGAACAGACCTGGGGGCCCAAGTCCATCGCCATTATGTAAGGCAGTACCAGTAGCAGCAGCAGTAGTACCACTTCAGCATTACCAGAAAGCTGCGTGTGAACGTCAGTCATCCGTAAACGCAGGCTATGGCGGGCCGCGCCGTTCAGGCATCGTGCCCTGGGTGCCAAACGAGCGTCACCGTGTGGCACTCAGCTTGTGAGAACGCACCTCTGCATATTTCAGGGGCTGAATTCTTCTGCCACTGTTCTAGAGGAAAAACTCACTATCAAACTTGTATTTCAGCCTCCGGTTTCAAGTACGTCTTTCTCAGACAGTACGTTTGTAACTGAGTTTGCCTCGGGGGCTCTCAAGTCTTACCTTATCAATGCTGCTCTTTGACACCAGGCGAGAAGGCGTCGGGATTCGAATTCAGTGGGACAAGCAAAGTCGTGCCTCCTTCATAAACAGATGGAACCCCTGGTCCACCAACATCCCGTACGTCACCTTCACCCAACACCCCATGGCAGATGCTGATGAGAAGATTGCATCCCTTTGCCTAGTAAGGACATCACTTCTGTTCTAGATGGCTTGTTCATCCATAGGCTGGATACGACTTAGTCTTTGTAAAAGATATAAAAGTTAAATCCAAGAGTAGCAGTTAAATCCAAGAGACAGCACTTAGAGCTATAAGCTACGTTTCCCCATTCTCCTAATTTTGACTTGCAGGGCAGCACAACTGTCAGTTTTTGCCAGCCACCCTGAAACGGTTTGTACAAGCAGCAAGCTGAAACCTCCAGAAGTGCAGAGTCCTGTAAAACCCAAAAGAAAACAGATCTTAGTGCTATTCCTGCTCTTGCTTACCTGACAGGCTGATGCCTGACTTTCCATCTAGGACTGCCAGCTAATTAAACAAATAGTTCAGCTGCTATAAACAGCAGTAGTCACTGATAAATCTTTACGCATCTCGCCCGTGCGTTGAAGTTACCTGTAAATAGTCTGAAATTAGTCTGGTATGAAATTAACTGTGTCATCGAGGTTAACTGTCAGAATGTAAAGTTTATCAGGGCACAGGAGATCCGTGACAACTACAGCTTTAGTGTCAGTCCCTTGCGATTCAACATCAGGAGCTCTTTGCCTAACTGTTTTTAACACAAGGGGAAAACATCACGGTGATTTTTTTTTTTCTTTCAGTTGGAAAACTTTGAGACTCAGCTAATTCAAGCCGTGAAGAAAGCCCAGAAGGAGCGTCCGTTGCCAGGGAGGGCTAACGGCGTGCTAGTGCTGGAGCGTCCTCTTCTGATCGAGACCTACCTGGGGTTGGTGTCCTTCATCAACAACGAGGCCAAACTTGGCTACTCCATGACAAGAGGCAAAATTGGATTTTAAAATTCGTTGCATTTAATCTTTTCAAGGGAAAGTGGTTTGATGCTGGTCTCCTGGGGAGAGCAGGGTGCTTGGCAGAGCGCTCAATAATCAAAGCAAAGAGGAAATTTTCCATTTCTAACTATGTGTTCCCCCTGTTAATTGTGATTGGCATCTGCTACAAACGCTCTGCACAAACATGCAAGAGAGCAGAATGTTCATGCCCTATGCCAGGGGTATCCCTATATACGGTGTCAGATCATGGCGTGCGCTTGGGATTGATTGGTCTTGTTTAAAGAGGTGTTGGTGTTCACAACTGCAGTCAGCTCAGCATTTTGGTTAATGCCTGCTAAAAATGTCGAAAGCTGTGTCAGTCATTCTTTAGCAAAGCAGTCAGCAAATCTTGTTAAAGCTGCACTGTTACGTCTGCTCAGAAGCACCCTACGTGAACTACTCCTTTGTAAACTGCAGTATGTGGCTGAATATGCATTTATGAGCTTTTTGTAAAAATACCTCCAAGAGCTGAGTCTAACTCCCTCGTTTCTTACGTATGTTTTCCTGCTGCCGCTATGGAATAAAGACTCTCGTGAGAGAATATTGCCAAAAGCCTCACAAACATATTTGCCTTCAAAGCTATTACTTATAAATAATCTGAAAACTCATTCTATTTTGCTTAGATTTATACTCTTAGCAGTTTTTCTTAAATCTACTCTAGTTTGGGACAGCAGCAGTGCAGCACTTTTTAATGGAGACAGATAAAGCTTTGAGCGCTGTACGTCGGACCTGATTGACACGTGCTGGCACGTAACCTCACACCCACGTCCAGCCAGGAAATTCAGGAGCAGCATAAGAGACGCTGCCACTGAAGTGGTTCATGAGGTCACTCTGAGAAGCTTTTTCATTGCCTCTGACCTCCACCTACGTGTCGTTTTGTCGCTGAACAAACGCTGTGCTGCAGTAGATGTGCGTTTGTGAAACTGGTGTGAAGCTGGAGTCGTGATGGAGTGCAGCAAGGCGCATGCCCCTCTCCGTGCGTTTTCTAAGATGCCTATTTAATTTTCATTAATCTTGCAGTAAAGTTGAAATTTAACTCAATTTGTTCTTCGTTCTTCATTTTGTGAAGACTGAGGCTGTGAAATTAAGTAGCAAAAGAAAAAACATGCAATAAATTCCTAAACAGTGGGCTCCCTTCCTTTGCAGGATACAGCAGCTGGCTACTCAGGTTAAAGATAAAGGATAGTCCAGCTGCTC